TTGGTGGGGCTTGATTGTGTCAGACTCCTCCGTCTGTCACATACCTAGAGCTTTACTATATCATACTTTTTGTAAGGTGGATATAATAATATTATTAAATGATGTCAAAAAAAAATTAGTTGTGCAATTCATGCATACTTATATTTACTTACTTTGCCCTGCTTGCTTAAGTTTTGAAAATGAGTTTCAAATAGTTCAGTTATTGATATTTAATAGTGTTGTCAACGAGTACCCGGTTAACCGTCGAATGATGCGAGTATCGGTTAGTAAATTTTTTTATTTTTAATGACCCCATTTTATTTACCGTTATTTAACGTTAGTCTCGACCTAGCGTTTTACAAATGCGATCGATTTGTTTTGATTAGTATTTCACACTTTATCTAATTGATGGCTTTGATTGCCAAGGTGTATACAAGAAGGCTTGATTTAATTATAATTACCTCACATAAACCTGTGCTAGTCTGCAGTACAAGATTAAAGATGCCGCCACATGCATCGAAATATTCTTAAAAGAATGGCTGAATTTAAATCCGTGAAGTGTAAATTATGTGAAATGGAATTAACGGGTGGGACAACTAATATGTTTAGGCACCTCAGACTGAAGTTTAACTGTGAAACCAGCGACATATAAAACGCAAAACAGCCAACGATTACGGGGTGTTCGAGAACAAATTTATTTAGAAGATATTGTGTATTCGTAATTATAAATAAAGTTCATGTGCAGTGCATTTGTGTTTTGTATATACTGATATATAAATGACAAGATAAATATAGAAACTGTAACGACATCACATACAATATACTCAGTATATAACAGCTGAGTATATATACCGCGAACAAGAATGTTTCGATGTCTAAAGAAAAATCATCCGAGTAACCAGTTGCTCGATCGGAAAAGTAAGCGAATAACCGGTTACTAAAAATCGTCCGATTTGACAATACTAATATTTAAAATTTTATTGTCTTTATAGATGCCAGACTAAATCATGTAAAGAGATAAGAGAGGGTCTTACATATCAGTCTGGAGATGGAATCTCTAATTCCAATACCGTAGTTGATGAAATTCCACCCATCTCAGTTTAGCACATTCTAGAAGTCCTGATGGAATTTATGATCTATTCACTGAGCAGTGTGACAACAAATCTGTCGTAGTTACGAAGTGCAAGAAAATTATTGATATTGTTACACAGTTTTTCATGTCTTCAAATGAAAGTTAAATGTCTATATGTGGAATCCCTGAAGTGTTGCATTCCTGTATTTTCCTAACAAACATTGAGATCATACGTACAAAATATATGAAAGGAGCTGATTATTTAGTTACATGTATGTTATATGAAACTTAATATGTTGCGGTGAAATGACCTATGTTAAGTCATGTAAGAAAAAAGTACGTAATTTTACTTTGTTCATGTAGTAATTCGATTTTAATTTATGGATCATTATATATATAATTCACATTGAAACGCATTGCGTAAGTGATGGATTAAACAGTTTTCAATGTAATACACTATCAGTTGGCAGATCATTTGTGTATGCCATTGTGCTACTGAATATAATAATTATTGAAGTTTTTCTAGCCTAGAGAAGTTCTTAAAGCTCTGGATATTTGAGAGAGAGAGAGAGAGAGTTAACTTGTTCCGGTCATTACTCGATGTCAAAGGACAAGATAAAGTAAGACCCCTTTTTGGCCCATGGTTTAGGATTTCTCTTAGCAATAGTCTATCATTTAACACATGTTGTCATCTCTGTTACAAAATGAGAACTATTTCCAGGTTATGGGATACATGAAAGTCCAAGGAAGGTCGGTCAAAAAATATGACAATTTCCAAATCTTCTCATTTTAAACTAAATTTTCATAAATTTTACAGCACATTTTTTTAAAGAACTTACAAAGCACAAGCTTTCCTGTCAACCAAATTTATATATTTCACTAATATCAGATGCGTTTTTTTTTTTTTTTTTTTTTTTTTTTTTTTTTGTATTAAAACCTCAGATAGGCAAGCTTATGTACTATGTTTCCCGAAGTGAAAAGAATCTCAAATATGACGACGTTACATATACATGAGATTGGAGGAAATTTGGAAAAAATGTCCTACTTTGGCACCGTCTTTTAGACTCCATGTATACGCTTTAAATCAAAATAAGTTGTTTTAAAACAAGCATCATTTAAAATTCTTAACTGCAAAGTATCACAATTTTAACTACTCGTATGTTTTAATTTTTTATCAAAATTGGCGTCACCATATCTTGTCCTTTGAAAAAGGATTGTGGAGAGGGACTCGATTGTATTTCAACGACATGGAGAAATATTTCTCTGGAACTTTTATTTTAAAATATTAAAATTGATTGATTGATTGATTGTTGGTTTTTTTACGTCCCGTTCGAGAATTTTTCACTCATATAGAGACGTCACCAAATACCGGTGAAGGGCTTCAAGTTTAGACTTTTACTCGGCACTCGGGGCCATTGAGCAGTGAGGGGTCTTTATCGGGATAACGCCTACCGTGACACGGGACCTCGGTTTTTAAGGTCTCATCCGAAGGACCCGCAACTTTCATTTCAAAGTGCCGAGCGCTTGGCGAAGGAACAGTTGCTACCTATTTTTTATCGACTTAGGTCAGTCGCGGCCGTGATTCGAAGATTCAGGGAGCGAGCGCTCAACCGACTGAGCTACCGTGAGGGAAAAATATTAAAATTAGTTTTATGATTGATTATAAGCATAGAATTTATAGTAATCAATCAGTTCACACAAAGCCTCGTAATATTTTTATACAATTAAATAGCGCCATGAAAAGTGCGGGTTAAAAATTTTCATGTCATGTGAGAAAGTACTTGAAATGAGATCAATGTAAATCGCAAGATGAAAGAATTTCACAAAAAACAACATCCAGACTCCACCACCACACCAGTACTTCTCAAATATTTCGATTAGAGGTTTTCAAGGAACACAGGTGTCCCCTGCCGTACCATCATTAAAGATGAAATAAATTTAGGAGTTGCCAGTTATCTATTTGCATTGAACAGCTTTAATCATAAAATATGACAATCAAATGGAAATATGACTCCTCCACCCTCAAAATTAAAATGAATAATGAAATCTAAATTATTAGAAATAATAATGTCTTACTTTATTCAAACGTGTTTAATTCGATTCATGACTAGAAAGATTTCAGTTTGCCTTTACTGCAATTATCAGTCTACAACGATCCATTTCGGTATATCTTCTGATTTCTTAAATTACAGTTTTTGTGGTAAATGTATATCACACAGTTTAAAATTACAATGTCTTAAGCTAAAAAATATGCTAATTATCGAAGCACTGCCTCTAAAAATTCAAAAGACATCAATTAAATAAATTTACCGACTGAAGTATTTATAAAAATATGTCAAAGGTCAGGGTCAAGAGACCGTGACGTTAACGCTGGTATTTTTCATAATATGTGTATCTTATGACAAACAGACAAACAGTGCACATGCTAAACATTAGTGACCTACCTAACAAATGTATAAATATACTGTATATCAGCTCCATTTTCTATTGAGAAATAGGTCAAAGAGTCAAGTTCAAATGTCAAAGTACATACAATGTGGGAGATGTTGTACTGAAAATTGATTCAGCTACAAAATTGGGTCAAAGTTCAAAATTAAAGTCTCCTTGGAAGGGTCCATATATCATAACTGAGCTCAAATCTCCTGTTTTATTTAATATCATTGATAAGAAAAACAGAGAAACTGTAATACACCATGATCGTATCAAACTCTGTAAAGATCTAGATCATCCCGGCTGGGTAAAAAGATTCAGGAATAATTTTTCAATCAAAGTGATGGGTCTTCGAAGCAGACTAATCGTCCTTCCCCAACTACAACATCTGAATCTGACGATGTGCTCACGGATGTTGTAAATCTTTTTAAGGCTAGGGATGATGCGTCTGATATTTTACAAAAGCCAAAGTACCAGCAAAATATCAATTCAATACTTCTTAAAGTTCTCGAAATATAAGGTATGACAGACAGCTAGACAGACAGACGCCGGGTAGTTTCCTAGGTGTCGTTCTGCTCTGCAAGCGACACAAAAAATTTTGGGTTTTAATACGAGAATATCAGTAAAATTAATGGGTTTTTTAAAAATTGATAAAATTATATTGTACATGTGTGAAGGTGTGAATATTAAACTCATTAATTTCAACACTATTTATGCCCTTTAAAATGTACTCATACAAAAGATACGTGTCGTTTGTTTGTTTGTCTGTGAATAGTGGATAACACACTGTAAACGTGGAAATTTCCGGGGGGGGGGGGGCAATTTGACCTAAATAATTAAAATAATTACCAACTAACTGATTAACTAACTAACTCATCACTAACTGGTGATTCATTTTTAGAGAAACATCTTTTATAATGCGACATGATACACACGCATATTGGATTCGCATATTTAGTAACACTCTTATATGAAACTCCTGCTGATGTCAGTATGAAATGTTTTACAGACGGACAAACACACATAAACTTTGTCTTCAGAGCGTGTAACAGGAAGGGAGAGAACATCATGTAGGTAGCATCGGGTGGGGGGGGGGGGGGGGGATTTCTATCATTAAGGATGCAACTGTAACGCTTAATGATGCCTAAGTTTGTATCATTAGCGGTCGATCATGTAGATATTTGCTTGACAATGTTTCATTATGCGTTGGGGCTGCACTGCATTTTTGACGCTGAATGATTTGATTCTGTCATTAAGCAGCGATTTAGCATTAGCGGTTGAGAATGTCAACTATTAATGCAATAATTTATGGCATGCAATTGCAACGCTTAATGATATTTCTATCATTAATCGGAGTTTTATCATTAGCGATTGCTACAGGACCGACAAAATAATATTTTATGTTTACCTAGAAAATTTCATATAAATTAAAAAATTATTAGAAATAGATATACGTGCTGACCAACTTTGGATGTACTTGTATTAATTATTGCTCAAAATAAATAAAATAGTGACTCACGAGCATTAATCCGAAGCTGTCGCCATTTCTGCAACAAAAACAAGAGGCCCATGCGCCACATCGCTCATCTGAGCACTTTAGTAAGAGAAATGCAGACATATGTTCAGTATTGAAAAGATAAACTATATGTGGTCCAACCCTACCCCGGGAGGGGTAGTGGGTCATCTATTACATGTAACCAAACTAGAATCTACACTACCTGAGGATGCTTACATATAGATATGATTAGTCATAGCTTTGCTGTTCTTAAGAAGATTTTTAAAGATTTTTCCTATATATTCTTGTATAAAACTTAAGTTTCCTAATGTTGCCTCCACCTAACCCCGGAGGCCATGATTTGAAATTTGCATCAACTGTATGAAATAAAGATTTCACTAAATTTTCATTTTTAAAAAATTTAACTTTTTCTTAAATATCTCCCCTTGAAAGTGGACGTGGCTTTTTGAACAAATTTAAATTCCTTTACGCAAGGATGCTTTGTGACAAGTTTGGTTGAAATTTGCTAAGTGGTTCTTGAGAAGAAGTCAAAATTGTGAAAAGTTCCTTTATATTCCTTTATATTCCAATGTTAAACTTTGGTCGTCCATCATGGCCCCGGGGTTCATGATTTGTACAAACATGAATTTACACTACCGGAGATTGTTTACATATGAATATGAATAATTTTGACTTCGTTGTTCTTGAGAAGATGATTTTTAAAGATTTTTTCTTACAGATTGATATGTAAAACTTAAATGCCATCTGTGGCCCCACCCTACCTCCGGACGTTATGATCTGAACAACTTTGATTCTACACTACCCTACCTAAGGAGGCTTCCTTATTAATATGACCAACCATGGATAAGCTATTCTTGAAAAAAGTTTTTTCATATATATTCCGATGAGAACTTTGATCGCCCATTGTTGCTCTGCTCTAGCCTCTGGGGTCATGATATGAATAAATTAGAATCTTTACTATGTAATAAAGCTTCCACATAATTTTCATCTTTTCTGGTTCGATGGCTATTGAGAAGAAAATTTTTTTCAAAGATGTCATTAATTTTTCACTAATTCTTAATTATTATCTCCCTTGGAAAGATTACGTGGCCCTTCATTTTAACAAACTTAACTTTCCTTCACCCAGGGATGCTTTGTGGCAAATTTGGTTGAAATTGACTCAGTGGTTCTTCAGAAGACGTCAAAAATTTGTTAAAAGTTTACAGACGACAGAGGGATACCCGTCACTCTTCGATCGGAAAATCTTAGGATCTAAAATCTTAATATTAAAAAGCTTTTAAAATTGGCATGTGTCTTATAATTTGACATTCTTTTTTTTCAAGAGTTTGTAAATACTTACCTCCTCTATAGCGTCTAAAAACTGTGACCCACGATGATCATTTACGAACCGACAATTAGGGGACCAGCGAGCGTGCTCCACCTGTTAATATTTAATGCAAATATAACAACGCGAAGGTAACACACAGAGAAATTATCCTGTTGAGAATATAATATATCGTAGTTCTATGTACAAAATAGAATGCTGTTCCCTTTCAGTTTCAATAATTCTTCAGTTATAATGCTTAATACCGTTGATAGTATTTAAAAAGTACATTATCAAAATGCATCTTAAAGAAACGTGTATATGATGACTCCGCTCAATTAGAATTTGTTTCTGTCCCTTCTTCATTTACATCTGATACAATGTAGCAATTTCATATAAGAAAAAAGGTAAAACTTTAATGAGATTGGAAAGTGCAATGGAAATCTCGAGGCGACTTAGAACAGAAATATATTGTTTAATGAAGATGTTCAATACATCAACACAAGAAACATCTTAAGCCAGTAAATACACTGTACTTGCATATTAGGTTTGTAAACTGTCGAGCAATACTTTAGAGCATTTTGGTATTAACCGGGTACAATGACGGGAAAACGAGTACAATAAACGATTCACTGCAACAGTTCTTGCATTAAAAAAAATGTTGACTTATTTATCAGGTAGTTTTCAGTTTCAAATATTTATTATCTTGCAAAGCATGAGTAGTATATGACTTACCCACGGGTCATCCTCGGCATCCCAGTTTCTTAACCCCACTCCACAGTCAAAACAGCGGGTAGAGTCCCCGTCACCAGCGTAGAAGAACCCCGCCAAAGCCAGATCACGAGGGGTCTGCGTCTTAGATGCCGGCCAATCAGTGAAGGAACCGATTCTGTCCTCTAAGTTGGAGTAAAATGGATACTTTAAACGGCAAAAGTCTGTCCAGCCGATATCTGTCTTTAATTCAAAATTGAGGGATTCTCGTGCAGTACTTGTGTTTGATTGTGTCCTCACGATTGATGGAACAGTATCCTTCTGGTGAAGGCTGTGTGTTTCAGGAGCTTTTCTGTCATAATCTGGGTGATTATTGCCTCTACGTGCATCGGGGGTTGATCCATGAGAGAGATTAATATTATCAGTTTCCTCCGACGAACGCCTTCTTACTTGGGTGTCAATTGAATTTCTACGAGAGGTAAATGTTGATGCTCTTGTGCGTGATAAATGAGATATATGCTTATTTTCATCAGTTATGTTCTCTTCTCTGTCAGATGATGGAATGGAAACAGGTATGGCATTGCATTCAGCTATTAAATGGGGTGTCTCCTCTTGGATAGGAACAACATCCGTCATCTGTATAATTACATTGTAAAAAAAAAAAGATCGATCACTAAATGTTTTTACAAATACACTTGACATACACTCAAACACACATCCTCTCACACCCACCCTCACACACACACCCATACAATACACACACACATCCTGCCACACACAACCTCATCCTCACACACACACACAGAGATCGAGAGAGAAAGAGAGAGAGAGAGATCAGTTCCCTCTTTAATTGAGAACTGGTTGAGTTGTGATATCTTGTGCTATTTAGATTAAAGGATGCATAATTATCATATACTTTGACATAGATTCAAAACTTTCCTCGAAAAGTTTTAACATTTTTTGTATATTTTTAGACACCGTCAAAGAAAGGAATTAAAGTATAAACAATAGAAATGATTTAAATAAAAATGATTTTCTAAAATCATACTGTGAAAATTCATAGGTAGGAAAAAATGTTTGTGTTTCATGGATCCATGTACCATGGTTCAGACCATGTATTTTCGGGATTTAGAAAATTTTGACTCATCTGCCTTAAGCTTGTCCATGAAAGTTTGTATCTATTTTTCAATACATGTATGTCATTATTCAAAATATCAATACATACTTGTTGCATGTTGTCATTTTCCATCAGGACATTTGAAACGGACCTATTTTCCGAGAAGTTGTAACTCTGTCTGTTATTCATTTCTTGATCTATAGAGAACATTCTACAAAAAAAATCAATGCTTCAAAACCTTGTCCAAAAATTATGAAGAGAATCATTGCTTTCTTCCATGCACAAGAATTTAAAATTTTATCTAAGTGTTACCATATTTGTTATCAGACAAATGAAGTAATGTTTTTATACTTACACACACTGATGATTATGAAACATTCCAGGGTTATCCCCACGTCTCCATCCATTATGCAGGGCCTGACAGAAGTAACACCTCGTCGTATCATTAATTCCAGTGCTATACCAGCCATTCCGAGCAAGTCTTGTGCTCAACATATTCCCAGGAAAATTGACAAATGTTCCGAATCTAAATGCGTAGCTTTGTTGGATAAAACATTGATCATCATTATCTGTGGGTTGTTGAATCCTTAAAAGTCTGGATAAAGGTTGTTGGTCAGTCTCATCTCTTTCGGAAGTCACTGGTAAGATAGCATTTTCTTCCTGGTTATATCTGCTGGATGGTATTGCAAAAACAAAGCAAGAGCCGCGTTGTATTTCACTTGTATACTGGTATTTGGATATCTTTTTTGGAGAATGTCGGGAAAAATCATAATTTATTAAAGACGTTTTATAACAACGTTTCCTTTTTGTTCTTTTTGTCATTTTCATACTATTCTTAGGGATATTTTGTTGTTGGCTGTCACTTTTAATGTTTATATGACTCATCTCTTCTCCTGAAAGTCGCACTAAAGCTAAAGGTAAAAATAATTGAATTTAATAACTTTCGGTATCCAAACGTGTAGAACAATAAATAGTTAATGACTTACATATCCAAATCATTATGTTTTATAAGTCCACACACAGGCATGAAAAGTATATATTTCTAACTTTGTTTCGTATATCCCCTCCTCAGAATTCGCTGTGGAAGTAACTTGTTTTCCTCGTCACAATCGAATTTCCCAAATATGTTCCGATAAATTTATTCTGTTTTACCAGTTTTTACATGTGAACAAATACAGTTACAAATTTGAATTCCATACAATGAATTATTTTTAATGTCAAATGTAAGGTATTAAATGTTTTTATACATTGTATTTGTTAAATATATGTTTGAAGAAATATGCTTCTATAAATGTGATATCACCCAATATTTTTTTATTGGTCGGGAGGAGGAGGATATGTCATTATGCTCAGTTTTAACTTACACCATTGTCGGAAACCCAGTCTTTCTTCTCTTGTCGCACAAGGGAAACAAGGCTGAAAGTTTCTCTCGACCCATTCATATGTGTAACCTAATATGCCCTCTTGAGGGCCAATGAAAATCGACGTTATCAAATACAGAGTAGACAAACAGTAATGGCGGCGATGGCGCCCATAGGAAAATCATATGTTGCGATGATTTGATATGTTTGTGGACTCTGCCGGCCTCAGCACTTGTAAAAACAATATTCCTTTAACCTAGTAAGTACCATTACGAATCGAGGATGTTGAGCATTATCCTCAAAAACATAAGCCATATCATAAACGAGTAGTACAAAAAAAAACAATGTACATTTTTCTGTAGTTGGAAAAAATGATTGTTTGATATACTTGTCAATTTTTATAATAAATAAAAATGTCAATAAAAAGCAACATTTACATGCTTCTAATAAACAGTTTTAAAATATTAAGGAGGTAGTAAACAGAGAGGAAGGTGATAGCAGGTTGACATGGCCATTAACCATGTTAACTCAATTTGTTTATTTAGACTTCCAAGTGATATTAAAGTAATCAACTAACTAATATATGCTTTGAGAAAGCCAAATCTATTCAATTGTGAATTTCACTGTTCACTGCAGGGGATGCTCCCTTCTCTGTGACACCTGTTCCCACTTCTAAATTTTGAGGTCCGTGTTTGCTTTGCTCCAAATTTGCATCGTTTCATTGGACTTTCGAGATTGAATACTGTTCGCTATCTTCATATTTCATGCATAATGGAAAGTAGAGATGAGACGATCAAAACCGAGATCGGGTTGTCGTCGTTAATACTAGCATTATAGACGTGTGAAAACTCTTGCAGCAAATACTTTTCCCTCCTCCAGTCTTGATAGGATTTTAGAGAAACATGAAATTTGGAGCAGAGCAAACATGGAACTCAAAATTTAGAGGTGGGATCAGGTGCTATGGAGGAGTGAGCATCCCCTGTCGACCGGTCACACCCGCTGTGTATCCTTGTCATGATCAAAAGAAAAAACGGAAAAATCCGTGGACAGATCAGTGTATAAATAATGGCCTAACAATAAGTATGAAAAAAGTCAGTCAGCATTTGACTTAATGATGAATTGTATTTGCTAACAAGGTCATTGTATCGACCATAGAACTTGCCAAATGATGACTTCAAACGAGACTGTTGATATCCTTGTTTCATCAACTTGTTTGTCAATAGATTGTCGCGTTTTAGGAATTGTTCTTAAGTAGAACATGCTCTTGCGTATCGAATCAACTGAAAGACATAAACCTCATTTGCAGGTGATAAGGGTATATTGCTACATAAGCAAGGGAAGTTGACGATTGAAAAGTAAAAGTCATCACGTTTATCGTAAAGCTTTATTGTTAGGTTACCATTAACGTCTTTTTCAAGTAAAATATACAAATATGAAACAGATGCAAATGAAACCCTTGATGGAAAAAGTTCCACCCACCCAATGTATTTCTTTGCAAAACATGTAGAGGAAATATATTATCTTTTAGGGCAATTAGGGTGTAACTCTCATTCTTCAGATGTCTTTTTCATACAGTCTTTATGAATATAAATAATGTATTTTAATGAGATTGTGATTTTTTTTATGTGATTTGAAATGTACACTCCAGGATGGTGGCTGAAGCTCTGACATCTCCATGTAAACACCTAAATGCCAAGTCTGGACTTCAAAAACAGATTCTGAAAGTTTAACCAGCATTATGGTAACACTCTTTAAAAAGAAATCAGATTTTCTGATCCCATTGCTTTTAGACTTGCAATTACATATATCATGTAATGATGTGCATTATATTTCAATCGCTAGAGGAGAAAATGTTAAATGTTACATGTATCAGTAAAATAAGTAATTTTTTTTACCTCAAGGACAAAAAGTATACACTTCGAACAGACACAAAAACATATAGGTCCATGCCAAGCTATGAAAGATTTATACTGAGGGTAAGTTCTATTATTATTATATAGAATTTAATTGTCAGACATATGGTTATGTCTAAAATTTTACTGTTGTATTTACATAAGTGATAAGCAATATTTTGCACCTGAGCTGATTTACACATAATCACAATTTTTTTTTAACTAATTAGGTAACCTGAATCAGTCATGACCTATTGCTATCTGTTTTTAGCTCACCTGAGCTGAAAGCTCAAGTGAGCTTTTCTGATCACATTTTGTCTGTAGTCTGTCTGTAAACTTTTCACATTTTCGACTTCTTCTCCAGAACCACTGACCCTATTTCAACCAAACTAGCCAAGAACCATCCTTGGGTAAAGAGGATTCAAGTTTGTTCAAATAAAGGGCCACACCCTCATTAAAGGGGAGATAATAAAGAAATAGTGAAAATTTAGTGGGATGTTTTAAAAATCTTCTTCTCAAGAACCACTGGGCCAAAAAAAGTTGAAACTTATAGGAAACCTTGTATGTCAAAGTGTAAATTCAAATTTGTTTAAATCATGAGCTCCGAGGGTAGGTTGGGGCCACAATGAGGGGTCAAAGTTTTACATAGGAATATATAAGAAAAAATCTTTAAAAATCTTCTTCTCATGCAAGGACAGCAGAGCCTTGTTTAGTCATATTGATAAAGAAGCATCATCAGGTAGTGTAGATTCAAGTTTGTTCAAATCATGACCTCCAGGGGTAGGGAGGGGCCACAATGGGGGATCAATATTTTACATAGGAATACATAGGAAAAAACTTTAAAATTCTTCTTCTCAAGAATAGCAAAGCCATGAATAGTCATTTTGAAATGGAAGCATCCTCAGGTTGTGTATATTCAAGTTTGTTCAAATCATGATCCCCTGGGGGTAAGGTTGGACCATAATGGGGGATCAAAGTTTTACATAAGAATATATGGGAAAAAATTTTCTTCTCAAGAACAGAAAAGCCATAAGGCCTAAGGAATGGAGCTAAAACCATCAAAATTAATGCAAAATTAATGCAATTTCTTTAAACCTGGACATCAAGCAAACTGTTAGCATGATTGTAATGAGCATTGAGTCTTCTACTAAAATTGTGAAATTCATGGCCCCAGGGTAATTTAAGTGATTCAGGTGTTAGGGCAGGGCTTCATTGATCATATAGTTTTATTATGTATCAATCGATTCATTGAAAATCTATATAATGCTCCTCCTGAGTTTAAGGCAAACAAACAAAGTTCATACCTATGATGAACAAGTTTTATATTTTCTGAGTTCACTCGCAATACTTCAATTTTAAATTTGTCAAGTAGAGAATTATAAGGTAGATACTTGAGGATTCTGAAAAGTTTAGTTTAAATGACCAAGGTTATTAATACTATAATAAACTGTAGTTGTTCGACTCTATATTTTAGTTCTGTAGGGAATCAACAAGGAGTCATAATTATGTGGAAAATAATATTGATTAAAAAATTGTGTTTTTCCGTATGCAAAATCATTTAATATTTTCTTTTTCTTTACAGATAAAAGGGAATTGCAGAAGAATAGATTGATGTTAAAAACAATTCAACATTAAATTTGGCTTAGATTTGAATATGTCTTTTGTTGTGATTGCCTTAAGAGCAAGAAGGATCAGGAAATTTGAGGTGAAGGATATCCAGATATGTACCTTCAAAATGGGGATCAATCAACAGATGAAAAGAAAATAAGCCTTTGAAGAAAATTATGTCAAATGCATGAATTGAATCATTTTTGTTTCACTTGTGAAAAAAAATGTTTAATGTATGGTATTTATACATTTATCATATGAGCACTTCATTTAACAAACACGTTAAACGCATGTTTCTCAAAACATGCGTTACACACACATTGCACACATGTTATTCATACGTAAACCGTATGAATAACGTACGTGTGCAACGTGTGTGTAACGTATGGTAGTCAATACGTATGTTTAACGTACGTGTCACGCATGATATTCATACGTGTGAAAACATACGTTTAACGTACTTGGTGCTTTTTTCATGTGATACGTACGTGAAGTCACATACGTATCACATACGTTTAACGTACGTGATACGTATGTGGCACATTTTGCTGTGTAAAATATCTAAATATGAAAGAGATGTGCCAGAATCTGTGGTATCTTTTATTTCAAGCTCACTGGGATATATCGAGTCGACATATGAATGAAATTAACTATTGTTAATTGATAATACATCTCTTTTCTTCCCAAGCGCTGCCAAGGACACACTTTGAATGCTTTTTAGCTTGTTTATTTGTAGGGTGTTTTTTTTTTCATTTCACCCCAAACGTCCCAATATTGTTAGAAAACACCTACCAGAACAATAGATTGCAACGTTGCTTCTTACTGGGTAATGTATAGTTATATGCATCCCAATACGGAATCGTCATGTAATCAATGAAAATGTGGTATTTATAAGAGCGAAAATGACAGCCTTGTGTCCCATAGGCGGTAAGAGAAGTGAGACCAATTTGGGTTTCCGACGATGAACTTACACGCAATATTAATTCTTCTACATTCACAAATACAGAAAATTGGCTCACTGTCCCCAGAAAAAATTGTGACCGACGAGAGAATTAATACGGTATAGATTAATTTTGCTTATTCATAGATTAAATCAATGCTCTGTTAGTATGTGTTTGAAATACAACCTGTTACTTACCTCGGTATATGCGATATAGTTGCAACATGATGAAAATCTGCAGAACAAACTGGCTGTGGAAAAATATTTCATTTACACTATTTAGAAGTTTTGTCTGACTACATGTTAATTATAATATACAGTACATTTTTTTTAAGTAAAGGTCAGATACTCGTTTGGCCCTGTCCAAGAAATGCTTGTGTAGTGGTATTCTTTAATTAATTTTATTGCTGGGAATTCTGTGTCGTTGTTTTTCCTTTTAAAGGAACTTATTTTTAATAGCAAATATCTGCCCTGAAAATCAAACTTCGATGGGAAATCTTGTTGTAAGACAGGTTGATATATATACATGTATATATACATTTAACATATACAGCCATTGTGACGTCAAAATTTCACTAAATTTGAAAGTTAATAGTGCATTCTTCGCCGATAAATTAACTGAAAAATGCTAGGAATTCCTCTTTTGATATAAAATGTAGAATGATTATATCAATAAAATATGTGAAAAAGGTTACTAAGCGAATTTGAGTTTTATAACCACTAAAATAAAAACTAAATAAAATGTGTTCATTTTTCTCTCTTAAAAATAAAATAACGGAAAAGCTCAATAGTTTTAGACGTCAAAGGACAGAAATGCAAACATTTTCCCCCAAGAAATAATGTATTTTATTAATTCAGATTAGTTTTACACAATATATATATAATGCACATTTCAAGGTATTTTGAAAATTTAATTCTATGGAGGTATGGATATACATTCACAGTATATATTTTTGGGGTAATATTTGTATATTTAGCGGTATAATTTAATCATATATTCTTACCTTAGCATTGCTACAAGCAATATGAAATAATCCATCTTCTTTCAATTCTGTTTTCCTGATTAAAAAATAGACAACAGACAATAAATACATGTAATATATTTTTACTCTAGCATTCTTTACATTTGTTAAAATGTTTCAAAGAATCCTTAAATCAAAAGAACAAACTATCATTTCTTGAGATTATATATGACTGACAGAAATTTCCTCCTAAACTAAAGCTAATGCTTAAGTTAAACTATAAAATCAGGCCTATAGAAACGGAGATGTACTCTCAGCTCAACCTTGAAATGAACAAACCTTGATATAAATCCAAGATTAAAAAGTTATTACGTGAGAAGATTGAAACAGCTGACACAACTAGAAAGTATCTCCGTCTGAAGAACTTTGCAATCGGTTGGCGTTTTTATAACGCATCTCTACATTTCAATTTCTAAATGTTTAGGTCTATGAAGCACATCTGAAATCACTCTTACAAAAAATGCGATAGTAAAATAGTTTACTATAGTAAACTGTAGTTAATTATAGTTTACTATAGTTAACTATAGTGAATCAAAGTTTCAAAGTTTTCACTATAGTAAATCAAAGTTCAAAAGTTTTCACTATAGTAAATCAAAGTTTCAAAGTTTTCACTATAGTAATTATAGTAATTCAAAGTTTCAAAGTTTCAGAAAAGTAAATCAAAGTTTCAAAATTTTAAACTATAATTTATCAACTTGTTACACTATTTTAATAATTTATTGCTTATTTTGCCGTTTTTCTGTGGAGGTAGGTTGATGGTTGTTGTATATCTTAATTTAAACTTACAAATAAGCTAATTCAGAGAAACGCTGTCCCCCGCTCAAGGAAAAAGAGTATGTGGGAATCTAGGGGAGGGTAAGGGGGCACTTTAAGAAAGGCGGCCGGGGCCATAGGGAGTAATGGTATTAAATTTTATTGCAAAAAGCTCAAAAGCTTCTTGAGATATCGCCCGGAAATGAAAGTTTTACACACATACACAGAATGTTTGAATTTACGACCTTGACTTTCGACCTTTTCATCTCTAAATATAAGCGGTCTTCCTTGGGCCAAAGGCAGTTGTGGTATAAAATTTTACTGCAAAAGTTCAAAGGCTTCTCGAGATATCGCGCGGAAACGAAAATGTTAAAACAGACAGAATTTATTAATTTTTTACCTTGATCTTTGACTTTTTGACCTCAAAATCAATAGGATTCTTATTTAGGCCATAAGAATTTTTTTTGTAAAATTTCATTTCAAAAGCTCAAAGGCTTCTCGTGATATCGCGCGGAAACGAAAATGTTACAGACAGACAGAAATACAGACGGACGGAGGACAGAGAGACGGACGGAAGAGCAGACAGACCGAAATTAGTATCCCCCACCTTTAGTGAAAGCGGGGGACAATTAGTTTATTCAATTGCAATATTTAGATTTAAAGTAAATTATTTTCCTTTCTCCATAAAACAAAACTTACATTATATCAGCATTAAATTTAAATACATTTGAATAAATGTTGCTTATCTATCGATCTATCGGCACGAGAGACAACCTCACATTAAAAATCATCTCATACTATAATTTTTCAAAAATTCTCTAAAGCTTTTATGAATTTAGACCATGATATATCATAAAATGTCAAGAATCCAAAATAAAATTCCAAGGTATAGAAGCGTTCAAAGTTTTCACAATAGTAAATCAAAATTTCATAGTTTTTACTAAGGTTATTTAAAGTTTTACTGAAGTTAATCAAAGTTTCAAAGTTTTTACTATAGTTAATCAAAGTTTTAAAGTTTTTACTTTAGTAAATACAAGATTCAAAGTTTTCACTATAGTAAATCTAAGTTCTAGAGTTTTCGCTATAGTAAATTAAAGTATCAAAGTTTTTACTATAGTAAATCCAAAGTTTTTTTCTATAGTAAATCAAAGTTTCAAAGTTTTTACTTTGATTCTATAGTTAACTATATTAAACTTTAGTCAACTATAGTCTAGTATAGTATATTTGCTAGGGTAATTACATAAAATAATGGGGGAAAAACAAAGTGTTTATCTTTGTGACATTTTTTCGTTCATTAACGTATGGATAACTTGATGCTTATAACATTTTGCCATTTTCTTTTATAGGCTTTTTGATATCATAGACACCTGCTTCTTTAAAATTAATAAAAATGAAACTCGGAAATTATCATATCTTGTGATTGGTCCCTGCATTGTAAAAAAAAAAGCCACTCTTCTTCTACACACAAGTACTTTAACATTGATATTTTAAGGCTGCTGGGGTTCCTTAAAATTTATGTAGTCTTTGGAGGCTAGGTCTTCCAACAGTCTGTTTGAATTCGGATGAGCTCATTTATTTACCGGCCCGTTTCTATATTCCAAAGAAGCAGAATTTATTCAAAAAACTTCTACATGAGAAGGAGAAAACACTTGCTGTAGCCCTCAACTCGATATTCAGATATATCATCGACGTTTTTTTTTCAATTAACAACAGTTACTTCCATTCGTGAGACAACTTGACATATGTCAGAGAACTCGAAAGACATCATTGAGTCTGCCACCTCTATTTCATATTTGGATGTTTTTATAGGCTATAAATGATAATGGTCAACTTAATTGTATGACAAAGGAGACACTCTGTTTTTTTCTCCATCGTCTACTTCCCTTTTTGTAATAACGTTTTGCTAAACAGTGTTTATATCTACCAACTTATGTGATACCTAAGAGCCTTCTCGGAGTACGATTTATTCTTTAACCAAGACATTTCAACCACCACGTTTTAAGTCAGCATTTTATTTTGGTCGTTATGATGACCTTGTTAGCAAATATAACCTATCATTGAGCAATATTTTGACTGACGTGTTTCATATCAATTGTTAGGTTTTTGTTTTTGTTTATTTACTAAATGTGACTAAATGTGACTAGGGAATATTCCGTCTACCTCATCAAAACATAAGGCTCACGGCGGGTATGACCGGTCGACAGGGCATACTTATTCTTTGTAGGCACCTGATCCCACCCTTGAATTTCCAAGGGTTCGTATTTTATGCCCTGTTCATAGATTTGTAGTCTTTGTAGGTTTTTCGAGATCGTTCGTTATCTTCACCATTT